TATCAAGAGTTTCAGTCTGAAAATGTTTTATCATCACGGCTATCAAAACATTCCCGGGCACTCTATAGACGATAATAAAGCCAAACTGTAGGTCCAACTAGTGCCCAGGATCAACCAAATGTTCTGAAAGCGATCTGTTAGTGGAGCTTTTCTCTTCCCACTAAGCCCAAGATAATGACAACAATAATTTATTCACGTGTTCCATATTGTGCTTTAAAAGCAGACGGTTAACATGACCGAAAAACACTGATGATTACATTTCGTTTGACTCAACAGGGATTTCCAAATTACTCAGAGACTTCATTCCATACTGTCTTCATGTGAATAAGATGATTTTGGCGAGTAAGTCCCAGTTGGAAAGTTGTCCGAAGGTGATTTTGATACAGACGGAGGTGAAACATTAATTATCCCCAACTGTTGAATGCTCGCATGTGTGGCAGCAGCGAAGACAACAATAGAGTAGCCAAGTGGAAATCGCATATTTGGTGAATCCTGCCAATACACCGGGATGAATGAACTGGCTGAGTAGTGGGCAGTGAATGAACAATGCAGCATAACAGGAGAGACGTATCAAATGACACCTATGCTTGACGGAGTGCCCTACGCTTGGCGAGTTTGGTAATATTAAGAACGATACCACTGATGCCTCATATCATCAGAGGTTAGGATGTTGATTAGCAGGAGTTATTTCCCACTACACTGCTTCTGTATCTATAGTTGGAAAGTAAAAAAACCAAATAACAGAGGTTTATTTCCACAAATGCATGTATCATCACCCAAAGATTTCCAACTTTTTGACTAGCACCAAACGTTTGTTAGCATGTTTGTGACTTGACGAGAAATTGACAGACGCATGTGTTAATTGATAATTCTCCGTACTCGTGGAATACCTGCAATGAGAGACCAGGAAAGGAAGCAATAGGGTAGCCAGGTAAGAATAGTATATTCGGTAAACTTTTTAAAAATGCCTATGAGTTCTAACTAACTTACTGGAGGATGATGTTCGAGCAACGAAACATAACACAGCTTAGTGCCTATTGGGTGGATGCTGGGCTATGCGCATTCAGTTCAGCCAGTTCACTTGAACTGTGAAGGTCTGCAGCAAAGTTTAACCTCGTCAAAACCTAGCCTTTTTTGTTGGTGAACTGTTTGCCTCTATATATGTTTCCAGCCCCTTTAAAGCATGTGACAGAGGTCTTTTCTTCTAGTCATCCGTCTTGTCATCTGTTTCAGCCATTGGTAAACGTTAAAATATATCTCAGCATATGACGTGCTTCTGACTGAATTTTCTCATGGGCATTCATCGCATCACAGTGTAGACAGGTGCTGGGTAACACCACAATCAACCTTATAGCAATTATAGGTGGGGTGGTAATGTATCGAAAATCTAGAAACAATGAACTTGTTATTATATGTTTAATTACTTTATCCAGTAATGCATTCCAGATTCTATCGCAGAAATTGACATATTCATTTTAACAGGGTGTACCAACCTAGTTTGTTGTATAAATTAACAGTAGGAGTGGTTTGAGTCATTCTCATAAGTCGTATTAAACTGAAAATGTTTCATTGCGCATTCCTGCTATGCCGATCGAACTAAAATTTGAGAAGAGAATTGGACGTAGGAAAAAGAATGTTCGCTTCGAGAATTGAGTATCCAATCAATAAGAGGTAGGTCATGAGTTACTTCTGTGTTTGTTGTGTCTGGTGGAGATGTTTATTTGCATTAAGAAGCAAAAAATTTCTTACAGATGCTGAATAAAGAACATTGAAGGTGATCAGATAGTCACCAATATCCACTGATGGATTCGCTTACACAACCGGTAACACATTCTCAGGGTTTTCGCCTAGAAGTTGGGTGTGACATTTAAAATCTGCTGCCTTGATGGTAGGGTCGTTGCTGTGCACGGAAGGGTCTTTAAAATGAGCAGCAAGGAGGTAGTGACAATAGAACTTCTGGTCTTATATAGTGGTACTGTTTAAGTCGAAAATGATGTTTCCTCGTTCCATTCTCAGGCTGCTGTGTTTAAAAAGAAAGTTGGTCTCACCATATTAGACATTTGTTTGCGAAAAAGGATCCCAGCTTTCTGAGATTTTGAATTTGCACAGACTGCTACACACCTTTTATCTCGTTATCGTTCATACGCAAATGAAGAGCTTAGTTTGAAGTAGTTTTAAAATCTTCGTTTGGTAGGTCGACTTGAGCGCGCTGTACTTGAGTTTTTTGTCATCTGATGTTGGATATTACTGGGACTGATATTTTTGAACTCCTTGGTTTTATGCTAGATGCTGATTTAATGAGCAGGTTTCAAGGTGTTTTCCGGAGGTAGTTCATGTGCGTTCACTTTATGCTCTACACGTCCAGGAAATACAGCGGATAAACGTAATTGCAATACACTTTCGCTCGAAGACTGTCCCGCTGATGTAAGCTTGTCAAAGTGTTATACCGCCCTAAGATTTTAGAAAACTTAGACGGCTATCTATGTGGACATTACCCACCACTAATTGCAATTCCTCGTACTCGGCATTCATCTATGTAAGGATAAATACCGTGATAATACTCAGCATAGATCCCTTGGAGAATTGGGCCAACTTATGCTTCAGTCCAAGTTTGCACGATGTCGAACACGATTTGTGGTCCCTTCGTTTGCATTTCATCAGAAGGTTTGTTCGTTTTTATGTTGTGATTGTTATTGGATTATCGAATAACATAGGCATTTGCACTATTAATTAGATAGCGTAAACGAATTGGGTACGTGCTACCTGAATTCACTATTTGAACCATTAATTATCAAAACAGGTCGTGGGATTTAGTTTCAGGGTTATCCTGACATCATAGTCGAAACAATAGATGTATATGAGTAGAACTAGGGGGATTATTGACACATACTTGTCTGATGGGTCAGAACAATGCGCAGCCATCCATTTGTGGGAAAAACCATTTATAGCACTTTGACTTACTGGTCGTTGATGGGACAGCATCACTGCCTATGAATAATAAATTCAGTTTCCCTTTAGACACCTAAAGGAAGAAATTCATCGCAGTAAACTTCCAACAGATTTCATTTCAGGCTGTGCACTCATGTGAGTATATATATATATATATATATATATATATATATATATATATATATATATATATATATATATATATGAATTATACAATATTTGAAAACTCATGAGAGGACTTAGTAGTGGGTGTAAGAAATGACAGTAATGTTGCTTGTAGTTATAGTGATGTGGCTAGTTGGTGTAGAAATATAATAAAAAGTGATTTTTGATCATTCATTTGGTGTATATATCTTTGTAAAGGGTGAAGATATGATGGGGTTCATAAAAAAACGGTGAATTAGTTGATTTGAATGAGGCATTAGGTGAAACAAAATGAGTGTTCCTGTTAAAACTTGAAGTTATTGGAAAGACAAAATAAAGTGAGACCAAAAACTAATAAGTGTAATTGCAATGACAAAAATGGTAAGAGCGTGCGAAAAACATACTAACAAAGAGGGAAAGTCACCGGGAACAAAAGCACGTCGGAGTCAAGACCGAAGCGAAGACAAGGACCAGATACTTCTATTACACACAAAAACCGGGTTTCAGCGCATGAATATCCGAAGCCCATACTGATTTCAGAGGTTGATAACTAACAAAATGCTGAGTATTTAAGTGAACTCGATAGATAATCATAAAGCCATTGTTTGCGTCAGTCGAATGGTTGGAGTCAACTACATACTTGGGGAGTTCCATCAGCCCGAATGTTTTGGTTACTGACAAAATCTAAGCAAGGATACAGAAGACGCCCTAGAGATTAGTGGAATTACATCGCTTATGGCACCGACTTGAGAGATATCCGACCATCAGTTGAAGGCCGGGCATACCGCACTACAGTCAGTTCCGTCCTGGGTTACGGCTGAGACGGCCGCTAAAAGTAGAAGACATCAAACGGTTACAGGTTTTTTTATCACAACTGCCTTCGTAGTATCGCTCGCATTTGGTGGAGTCACCGTGTTGTGGGTGGCCAAACCAAGACGTGGCACCCGTCGATGAAGTCCATGACTGTGGCTTTGAATTCTGTGGGGAGATGTAGACTGCCCGGTTGGGGTCCCCGAAATGAAAGGAATCAATGGTTGAAGACTCTTGGTGACGGCTGAAAATCAGTCACAATTGTGTAAATGCATTCACTCCTTGACATCTAAAGGTTGGATACTTGCAGTAACCGCTATCTTTCGATTGTTTTCCTCATATAGCTTTACCTACTTTGATACCACTCTTTTTCTCCCCATTTGTTCTTTATATACTGTAAAGTGGGTAACTTGAACCGATCCAGTTGTGTGAGAGGTTTTTTGATTTTGTCTATCAAAGCTTAGATACTTAAGTGCTATTTAGAAAGTCTGATCACTCTATGCACCTCAACTACTGTACATTATCTCTTACAGCTGAGTATCTAGTATAACTGAGCATCTCTCGGTTTCCTTCTACTAGTTCGACCACTGGTACGTACTGTTTTAAACAACCTTGAAGTGATTTTCATCGTTATATCGTATATCTTTTTATGCAACTTCATGAAAAGTGATGTCTTAAGTCCCCTAAGATTTTAAATATCAGATTCGATTGTTGACATACTGAGAAAATATCGGGGACTGACCCGCGGTAAACTTGTTTTAGCCTTTTTGCATTCATCTCCATTTTAGTATGTGTGCCGGTCTAGTACATTGAGTGGCCCACTGGAATTCTATGGTCGTCAGGTTGCTACAGTTGCAGGTTTGTTTTTTCCTAAGTATTTAAAGCATTTGTTTGATAGGTTTTACTTTCGATGGACACGTTATCAATTCCCCACCAGGAGGAGAGCTCCCAGACATGGTTCCTGAGTAAGTTTTTCGTTTACTTTACATTGGCATAACTTAAAGGAACTTTCCGCTTTAACGTTCTGAAGTTGCCCTATGGGTTGCGGACTGCCGATTAAATACTTGGAAGTTTGTCTTACTATTGAGATTCAGTAGGGAAAATTGGGTGTGTAGATGTGATAAGTGTAAAAACATATCAGATGAAATAAGTTTTGGGGCAAAGATGACTTTTCATGATCGGTAAAACTTATACTATACCACAAAATGATCGCTTGAACTCGATGTCAGATCATTCAGGATGAAATTTCCGTTTTGTTTGATCATCGAAAGATGAGGGGCCTAAAGGTAGTGAAATTTCCAAAATCCTATAGAGATTAACTGTTTAGGAGTGACTGTTTACAGCTGTAGTTACGAGTAAGTTTTTGAAGCCTTCCCAGCATTTTAGAACTGTCGGAAATGTAATTTAAACAATATACTCTAGCTGAAGGGCTTTCCCTCAGCTTTATTAATGGCTACGTCTCTAAGACAAATATTTTTCGACACCGATAGCGTTAGGTTTTCGAGGTACTATTCACTTTTAATGTTGTACGAATTCCATTCTTCCTATCTATTATTTTGTCCCAAAATTTATTTTCACTAAACGCTGAATAAATACTATTCACCAACCGCATAAAACCTTTATTGTTTCTCGTACATTAAACCGACAGTTGTACTGGAAATTCTGAAAAAGGCTTTTATCTGAAAATTTTAACCAATATTACGAATCCAAGCTTAAAATCGGAAGGAATGTACCTGTGTTGCAGTCACATGTAATGCAACAACCTAGAGTTGGAGAAAAGGGTATTAGCTTTGCTTCATCCATCATTTTGGTTACCTGTTCATACCAACAAAATCTTGACATCATTTCAAAAAATGTTTTGGTGACCACTTTTACAATCAACGTTTCTGAATAATCTACTGATGATTGAATGTGCTGTGCTTCCGTGCATGCTGTGCAAAGTTGTGTGTTTTCATGTTTGTCTTTTCTCACAAACGTTTGTAAGAGTGCTTTTGAAAGTGAAAGCCTTACAATACTTAACATTTCATCATTGGTGCTTTTGAAACACTGCTAACTGTAGGAGGGATCACTAATGAAACGACTCTAAGTTTAAAGTAATGTTGGATAAAATTGGTAAATCAGCTTGTGAGGTTTTGAGGCCATGTCGTATTGGGGTTGAGATATATGTTAAACATGTCTAATCACTGCTAACATCAATGTATTGCAGTTGTTGATGCAGAAGCAAATGTAAAGTAGCTAAAGGAGGTCGAAGTAACCAGTCGCATTAGTTCATCGGGTCTATGATTGTTGGTGATGACTTGTAAGGTAACCGTAAGATTCCCTGTTGATGTCCACAGTATAGTGAACACTGACAACTTTTGTTCTAAGCCAGTCTCATTGGGATCCATTAAGTTGTTAACCGTAAATTAAACCGAAATAAAGTTTTAACTTCTCTTTTTTCTTCTGAACTTAAAAATTGATTTGTATGATGCTATCCACTATCGCTTCCATGATTTATAGGATTTCGAATCTCCCAAAGAGTGACGAATCGCTTAGAAGTCTGTATATGCTGAAAAATGATCAACCGATACTAACCGTGGATTTTTTTTACTAAATATAGCACGAAGAAAGCGTAAAATCTTAACTGGTCGTTTATTCATTGGCTTAAACACTCGATTCTCAGTTTATGGTTTTTGGGTTCAGATTCTGCTCTACCTACTTCAGCCTGACCAACCGAGTCGTATCTTAAGGCATCAGTAAGATGTTTTTCATGGTGTAGTACCTAAAGTTATACGGGGCTGACTCGTATTGAGCATTATTTTTCTGTTAATACACCATAAAAGCTAGTTACAAACCCAAGAAAATAAACTTTACAAAAGGTAATCAGCACAAATTGTTTCTTGATTTAAGTTAGCCATATTCAAAGCTCTTAACTGGGTTGAATGAAAGCTTTATTGTTACGGTAACCATACTTGGCAAATACATTTATTCTGACAGTTAATTACTTAGTTTGGAGGTTTATGGAGATTGAATGATTTCAAGGTAGTATTCATAGCGAGGTGATATCATTTGGGGAACCACTGGAAACCTGGGGGTACTAGGCAGTAATTTCGTCCTAGTATGGGACTCCGCATTGTGCACCCACGGACATGCCAGGATTGACCTCAGTACCGTCAGGTCGCGCAGTGAGCGCGTTACCATTCAACCACTAGATTAGAATCCAATAGTCCAGGTGATCTCAGTTTATGATGAATACTGCCTTGAAATCATTCAGCGTTCTCAAACCTCCAAACTGAATTACTGTCTAGTATTCATTAAGGACATACTTCAAGATGGATTCCCTGGAGTTCTAATGGGAAACATAACCTTTGGGGCCAACCAAGTCAGGCATAAGGACAAATACTCGCTGATAGCATTGGGTGCTGGTCACACTATGCCACGAATTGGCAGAAATAGGAAAATTTGGACTACTGGATTCCAACCCCATTGGCCTAATGGTATCATGCTTGCCGCAAGACCTGACGGTTCTGGGTTCGATTTCTGCTTCGATCATGGGTGCACACTGCTGAAACAAGCTGTGTGGTGTTTCCAGTTCTTCAATGGTGCCAGTGCGTGATGACTATAACTTTCAAGTTTAACCATTCACTGAAATTTTAGACATATAAGCTTTAAAAACATTTACCTGTGATTTGACCAAATAATTTCGCAAATACTTGATATCGGGTGAAAACTAGATATTAGGTATGTTGTCTCCATGTTGTCGTGTTCAAGATTAACTTTTTCTCAATTTTATTTGAAGGGATATTGTTTGGATTGATATACGTGAGGATCTTTGAAATAAGTCTGGTTTTGTAATCGAAAACAAGCTAATTTATTTAGTACTTGCCGTAAAAACTAAAATTGAGTTAAACACTCTTAGCATTATATAATATCCATCCATCCAAATCAACATACGACCAGGCATCGGACATCACGGCCTCGCCACAGGTGGCGTAAGTTGGCCAGAGCCAACTACCCTTTTGTACTTGTACAGAGATTTCATCGGCCACTGAGCCAGCCACCAGGGGTGATCCTCCTATTGTCAAGGTGAGTGAAGTGGTCGACACACTCAAGAACTTCATTCTCTATTGTTAGCCGTGGTAGGGCACTGTTGAAGACTAATCTTGGAGCAACAATTTGCACCTGGGTGGTGAGAAATGCATCCCAAACACTCAAATTCTCACTCAAAGTGTTCAGGAGACTCTGCATCTTATCAGTGTCTTCACCTAACAGGACTATGTTATCTGCATATTCAAGGTCTCACGAAAATTCTGTGATTAGGTCATTCCATTTGTAGTCAGATGACGAGCGGTAGACCTCCATAAGAATATCTATGATAAAATTGAATAAGAATGGAGAGAGTGGGCAGCCTTCACGAACACCATTGGATGATCACAGCTCCGTGAACATGTCACCATAGGCTCTAATACGCCCACGCCTATTGGAGTAGAGAGCATTCAATAAGGTGATGTACTTATTCGGCACGCCTTTCAGTGAGAGACATCGCCATGAGACTTCTCGATCAACGGATTCGATTGCCGCCGCCTTCACTTCGAGAAATACAGTTATTGTCAGGCGTCGTTAAGCGTGTTTGTGTTCCACAACCCGACGGAGTGTGAATATTTGGTGGAGACACCCACGGTCAGGTTTAAAGCCTGTCTCTTTTTCCTGGACTTACTGTTCCCAAGCTTCACTCAGGCGTCTGATGATTATAGAACCTGTAATGTTGGACAGTATTTTCGTCAGGCTGATTCCTCTGTGGTTATTGCAAGAGGATTTGTCGCCTTTCCTAAAGACTGAGATAGATAACCAGTGATTGAGACCAGTCAGAGGGGATCATATTTGACTCTCATACACTAGTTAACACTTTAGTTAAGTTGACTGGAAACACTTTACCACTGTCCTTACATCCCTCAGGAACTGAACAAGTGCGTCTTTACCTGCTGCTTTTCCTCGTTTGATGTTACCTATTTTTTTTCTGACTTCTGCAAGTGTTGCGAGGTCTATCTGAATGTTCCATTCGGGATCCAGTTGGATAGCGGGGAACGCAGTGGTGTCTGAGGGCCGGTTAAGCTGTTCCTCGAAGTGTTCCACCCATCGTTCCAGTCGTCTCTCTTCTGAGTGAATCGCAAATCCGTCCTTCTCCCGTGTAGTCTCATTAACCTCAGTTGACATTTTCCTTGATAAGTCTAAATAACTGTGTACTGTTACCAATCGCCGCTGCTTTTCCATCTCTTTAGCCTTCGCTGCCATTCTTAGGTTGCTGGTTTGAGGTGTTAAGTTCAACTCTGAAATTTCGACCATTTAAGATTACTTCTATTCTGTGTATGTAGTAACTTCTGAAACTATTTATATTCTTAGGACAGAAAGTGGGCGTCAAAGTCTAGAAAAATTGCGTGATGATGACTGTGAACTGATTCGACGCCTAAACGTGACTTATATCTGTGATTTCATGTTGGAGTATAGAAAAATAAAATGTTGGGTCCCGTAAGTTGTTTTATGATAACTTTTTCTTTTGTTGTTAATAAATTCACCGTTTCAATATCCTCAAATAATGTAATAATCCCTAGAAATATTTACCCGGTGTACGCAACACTGCATCTTTTAGTTATAAACTAAACAGCTGGTTGAACAGCGCAATAGAATGGCGTCATTTATTTCATAGGATTTTCTTCGGCCTTAATAAATAAGTAGGTGATCACTGTAATAAGAGTTCTTAGTTTTTTCCACACAATTACGTAGCCACTTCTAATTACATCTAACCTTATCTCATACATTCAAAAATATTCCCTTAATATTGTGTCTCTGTTATGACTGAATTTCATCATTTTAACTTCTTTGTTTTTGGAAGTGAAATGTCATTTATCATCTTAACTCGCTTTATATAAAGTATATAATTATTTAGTACAGTCACTACTCATTCAGATTGTATACAAACAAAGGTCGTTTTGTGAAATTAAATGAAGTCATCTTATCCTAGTAATGCTGCTTTGCCTGGGTTGTTCAAGTCCAGGAAAAAAATTCTATGGTGACTGACATTGACAAAATCAGTGTAGAACCTCGCATGCTGGTGCATCAGCTCACGTTGGCACACTTTACAGTGATACACTACGAACAGGTGGATCGAAAACTAGTGATATCGAAGTAAATAAAGTAGGGTCAGAAATGTCAATGGTGATCACATCTGTGCACTTGCTACCGATTTTCAGCCATGTCACCAAGAATCCTCAACTACTGATTCCTTTCGTCTCGGCTACCCCAACCAGACAGTCTACATCTCTCCACACAATTCAAATCCACAGTTATGGACTTCATCGACAGGTGCCGCGTTTTGGTTTGGCCATCTACGCTGAATCGTCTCACATAACTCAACTACTCTTAGCATGACACGTCGAGGTAGACAGTGACTCGGCATGTGCAGTACATGTCTAAGCCATCTCAATCGACTAAGGTTCACAACCTCATCAATCGGCTTGCCTATCTTGCCTAATACCCTCAGCCTGACCTCAACATTGTTCTCACAGTAATTCCACCAAATGCGAGCGATACTACAAGGACATCTGTGATCAAAAGCCTGTAACCGCTTGATATCTACTTTTAGCGGCCATGTGTCACGGAACTGACTGTAGTGCAGTATACCTGGCCTTCAATTGACGGTTGGATATCTCGTCAGTTGGTGCCACAAGTGATGCAAATTGGCAAATCTCCAAGCAATCTTCTATATTATTATTATTATATTATTTGTCCCTTGAGTTCCTAATGGAACATAGGGCTTCAGTAGCACGTCACCATTCCACTATGTCCTCTGAAATCTTCTGAACCTGGCTCCACGACAGCCCACAAGCTCTTATTTCTTCCTCGCACGATCTCCTGCATATCACCCTAGCCTTGAACGTCCAACTCGTCACTTCCCATCTGGGTTCCACCCGACGAAGTGGCCTGGCGCATGATGTCCCCAGTCGACCTTCTCAGTGCATGCCCAATCCATCTACACTTCCACATGCATATTTGTTTGGCGATAGGTTCTTGGTTGGTTCGTTGCCCTGCCAGAGTTCCTTGTTGCTTATTCTTTCTGGCCATCTGATCTTCAGTAGCGAGCGTAGGCAGGTGTTGATGAATGTCTGTAGTTTGTTGGAAATCCCTTTCATAACACGCCAAGTCTCTGAACTATACAGAAGTACTAATTTGTCATTGGTGTTGAAAATCTGGATCTTGTTCCATATGCTGAGGGGAGTGCAGTAGATCTCCACACTGGTTTCAGGCTAATGAAAACCTGTGTTGCTTTTCCGATCCTGGCTTTGATATCCTCGTCCGTGCCGCCTGTAGTTGAAACAGTGTTGCCTAGATGGGTGAAGGAGGTTACTTCCTTTAAGTTTCTTCCGTTCATGGTGATTAGTGCTTGTTGTTGTTGGTGGTGGTGGCGTTGGTTGGGTATCTTCATCACCTTTGTCTTCTCTACGTTCACTTGAAGTCCTGTCTTCGCTGCCTCTTCTGTCAACTTGTTGGTTTTTGCCTGTAGATCTTCAAGTTTATGTGCATTGAACACAAGTCATCGACGAAATTGAAATCTTCTAGGATCTTTTCCCCGGTTCAGGGTATCCCCCTCTTCTCGATCCTCCCTGTTTTCTGCATGATCCAGACCACCACAATCAGAAAGATCATGGGTGATAGTATACAGCCGTGTTTTACTCCTGTCTTCACTTTAAAGGCGTCACTGAGCTTCCTATTGTATATAACTTGGCATGTGGCGTCTTCATATAGTTATTGAATGAGGTTGATAACGGTTTGTGACACCAAAACCGTAGTGTTGAAGTAGTTGCCAAATTACTTGTTGGTCGACGCTGTCAAAGGTTTTTTCTAAGTTGAGGTAGAGAGTTGACTGCCAATCTATGCTCTGTTCTATGATGATGTGAAGCGGTCTTCTATGCCCGAGCTGATATTTCGTAATCAACCACACCATTCGGGCTGATGCAACTTCCCAAGTGAAGTGGTCGATACATTCCACTACTTCACTCCTTATCATAAAACTGGGAGTTCTTGTAGCCAACCAGTTCTAAGGCGCCATCTTACATTTGACAGGTGCGAAACCCACGCTGGCCAAACATACTCAGATATGTGCTCAACGCATTCAGAAGGTCTTTCATTTTGTTAGCGTCTTCACTCAGCATGACAGTGTCATTTTCATACTCCGAATCAATCAGATGGCCTCTAGGAAGTAGATCAACCCCTGTGAAGTCAGATATACCTAAGGTTATGTCCATTAATACGTCTATGAGGAAGTTAAGTAAGGACTTTGACAGTGGACAAAAGTTTATAGACGGATGTTTCCAGTTAATTTTTGTAAATCGCTTAAATTGTGATTCATTATTTTGTAATTTACATTTCCAAACGAATGAAAAGAAGAAATTTTTTAGTTCTTTGAGAAATACAAATACCAAAATAACGAATATTATTTACCTTATCCTCAGATTTTTCCAAAGTCCTAAACTTTGCTTTGTTTTTGACATTCTATTCATGTGAAATTACTTATGGTGACTTTGTCACTGAATATATACATTATTATAAATATATAATTCAATTAGAAAGAAGCTTTTAGAGTTTTTTAAGCTATATTAACTTGAATTAATATTTAAAAAGGTATGGCTCATGACAATTATTTGGTTTCATATGACGTAAATTGTTTGATGCATGATTACTGGACGTTTTACATCTACCTACGTTTTCGTCTTTCTAACAACCACTTGAACTAAGTGTTTGTAGAGGAAGTTTAGGGAGCACATAATTGTTATAAATTGTCAAAAGATCTTATCGTCACATCTTTCTGATTTTTTTGACTTCACTATATTCTTTTGAAAGTTTCTTCACTGGTGTAAAATTTCTTCCCTGTAACTATTCGAAGTTCTTCGGTCAAAACTACCTCTTTAATGATGCATGTTTACTCGAATCAAACGTTTAGTAAATAAATTGAAATTTATGTAAAAAGAATTCAACTTAACATGTAGATATCAAAAATACAATTCAGCCTGTTAGAAATAAACAAGTTGTGCATTGGCTAAATCGTTTATAAAACTACACTGAAGTATAAAACAAAAAAATTTCCTACTTTTCCTGACCTTGTGGAAGTTGCTTCCTCAAAGAGTGAAACCTGCTCAAGTTATATATATACATATATATGGGAAAGGGTTGTGCACATGTTATTCTAAAATCAGTAAAAGGACGTCATGGCTAAGTAAACATAGTAAAAGGTCAACAGGTTCTCACTATTAGTATAATTGTTTATGTTATACTGTCGTTGATTGGACCGAAATGACCGGTCTCTATTAGCATGTGGGTTCCTGTGCGGATGCCTCGATATTGCCTGTGTTTTAATTATATATAGTAATGATGAATATCATGGCTCGGTAGGGTAGTGGATAACTCTCTGGTGTTTAAAGCGATCGCTCCCGAGTCCCGGTGGAAACAACACTCACTGGGAGGCAGGTGCATCCAGCTGACGAGTCCCAAATAGGACGAAATGCGTATCCTGGATTCCACTACTAACCACTATCCATCATTACTATATAGGTTTTCATTATATCAAAAATACGATGAGTACAACTCAGAAAGGGAGAGTAGCTTTTGAAATAGATCGAAAAATAAAGTGAAAAAAAACTGAGGGTCATGAAATCTTACAAATTTAGGAGATAAAAATGACCACAATAATGCAAGATTAAAAAGAGATTCAGGTCATCGGGAGATGTCTAAAAGAAAATGGTTACCCTGAGAAATTTATAGATAAAGTCAAAACGAGAACGGAGGGAACAGTTGGATTTTCAAGCGGGATTCATTAATGAACAGGGTTAAAAGAGGAATAAAAACTTTACCGAAAGCCACTTTCCTGGCCCCTAAATTAGTCTCCCTCTGCAAAACAAAGTGCTCACTAAAGCGATCATAAGTCGATAACTTTTTCGGCTCATGTCACCTCAATTTTATTAACGAAAATTCACGTGCGCGTACATCGAAAGGACAGAAATGAGGGCTGAAACTCGATTCCGTGAACACATTCTAAATAAGTTAAACTTAAAGAAGCTAATTTGTCTTACACGTTCCATTACTAAGCACAAAATGGAAGCAAAAGACGATGTCGATACTTCGAATGCATTTAAAATAATCAGCAAACAAAACAATGCTAATTTACCAAGATTCGTAGAAGCAGTAGCTATCAGAAGGATTAAACCATCATCATCATTATCAACATAGGACCAGGCATTACTGCGTAACGGTCCGAGTTGCCACACCTCATATCAGCACATCAAGTAAAAAGGTAGTGAGGTGAAGGATGAAGATAAGTGAATGCAGTCAAAAGAAATATAAAGTATGAGAAGAAAGGAAAGAGGAGTGACAAAATAGTGAGATTCGGTATAGCGTTGTTAAGATGAGGATAATGTGTGTATACATCTGCGCCACTGACTTCGGTTCTGAGCCATATCACCTAGGGTCTCCAACCA